TTCCCAGTTTGTCATTTGTCTTTTAATTTCATTCATGCTTTTTCATTACTGTGGATATTTATAATTTTTATGTGGAGTATCTGCCAATTACTTCTTCATATGGCGTCTCTATTTTTAGTGCCTGAAAGCCTTTGCAGGGGTGGGTAGGCTTCAAGTTTTTTATTTTTATATTCTTTATAATCAAGGATCAGAATCTAGTTTTATTTCTAAGTAGTTAGCCAACTGTATCAGGCACATCAGATGAAAGAAAGTCATTTTTCTGTTTCCCCATTGATTAGGGTTCTGTTTTTTTCTTGTAGATTAAAGTTTTAGGTATACCAAATTTTGTTTCTGGACTTTTTCTTCTCTTCTATGTTGGCCTGTTTTTGTTCCAAAGCCACATTTCTGATTTTGAAGCTCTTTTCTAAAATGGTCACCTTACTAATTTGTTAAACATTTTCTTGCAGTTCTTTATATGTCATTAATATTACTGATTACTCATATCACCATAAAGTGATTGAAACACTTAGATTTTTTAAAAGTTAAAATAGTGTTATCCTTTCTTTTATGATAGTGAAGTATATCCACAGTGGATAACAAGCTGGTTTAAAAAAAATAGGAAGAGCAACTCATTAGAAAATAGAAAAATAGGCAAAGAAAATAAGCGAGTATCTTAAGACAAAACCCAAGTGGCCAATAAATTCATGAAGAGATGTTCATCGAGGTAAAGGGAGTTACGCTCCTGTGATTGCTTCATACCCACAGTGTTGCTAGAATCTTCGATATTTGACAGTACCCAGTGTTGTTGGCAAAGGTGTATGGAAATAGGCATGCCAACGTATTGCCAGTGGGAGTGTACTTTAGGTACTCCACTTGAAGAAAGATGTGGAAATATTACTGTCGGTCAAGATGTATGTTCCCGATGTTCCCTCTACACATCTACTCTGGAGGCACTGTTACACATGGATGAGGTGACAGAAGAGAGAGTTCACTGAGCTGTGAAAGACCTAAACATTATGACAGAAGAATAATTCTATGAAATTGTATACATTAAAGTCAGTGAACTAGACTTACGTATATCAACGTGAATAAATCTTAACTAGAATGGTGCATATAAGGCAAGTTTAACATTTAAATACTTACAAAACAGTGCTGTCATTTCAGGCTATATTTGGATGTAGTGGGAGTTTAAAAGCCATGCATAGAATATTAAACACCAAATCCAGAGTGCAGCTTCCCTCTAGGAAGGTCTGGGAGTGGGACTGGGGTCGGGAGAAGCTCAGAGGATACCATAATCCCACCACACCCTTTCAAAGAAAACCTGAAGCAAAGACTCTTACCTATTAATAGTTTATACATCTTACTAGCAGGTACATGGGTATTTTATTTCAGGTTTTTTTGGTTGTTTTTTTGGCCATACCACTCAGCTTGCAGGATCTTAGTTCCTCTACCAGGGATTGAATCTGGGCCACCGCAGTGAAAGCGCTGAGGTCCTAACCACTGGACCGCCAGGGAATTCCCCAGTTTTTAATAATATTAAAATATAGGGCTTCCCTGGTGGCGCAGTGGTTGAGAGTCCACCCGCCGATGCAGGGGACACGGGTTCGTGCCCCAGTCCGGGAGGATCCCACATGCCGTAGAGCAGCTGGGCCTGTGAGCCGTGGCCACTGAGCCTGCGCGTCTGGAGCCTGTGCTCCGCAACGGGAGAGGCCACAACAGTGAGAGGCCCGTGTACCCCCCCACACACACACACACTATATATATATATATATATATATATATAAATGATACGTGCTTAGGTAGGTCTTCAGACACTAGAGAAAAGCATAAAGAAGAAAAGAAACCTCACATGTGATTCTGCAAAACATTGTGTTCTACGTTCTTTACACACATTTTTGCATACATCTCTAATGATTTCCTTAGGAACATTTCCTAGAAATAGAATTACTGGATCACAGTGTATGCTTCTGCTACATTCTCCCAAATATTGTTCAGAAATGTGCAGTTATTTCCAACCGTGTATAAAGGCCTGTTTTCCTACATCCCTAAGTACCCAGGGGAGTATCACACTTTTAATCTTTTCTGATCGAATGGACTTGGGCAAAAAAAAGTATAAATAATTGTAAACATATGCCTGTGGTAACATAAACATATGACTGTTGAATTTTATTTATATCCCAGATGACTGACATTTTAAGACAATGTATGTTTAGCAAGATTTCTAGGGGCCCATTAGAAAGCTTTAACCCAGCAATTCCCAATCTTGACCTCTTGTCACAGTCACCTGTGAAACTCTTCAAGATATTTTTCCTTGAAAAGGTAATGCTATTTCATAATTCAGAAGACACTAGGTGATATTACTGAACCAATATTAAATTTCTCGGTTGTAGAGCACTTTCTTTTTTCTTTTTTAATATATTCATTTATTTATTCATTTAAGAAGCATTTATTGAAATCTGTTCTGTGCCAGGTATTGTGTTGGGCATTCAACGTACATTATCTCTTAGCCCTCACAATAATACCATCTATCTATCTATTTTTAGCAGTACTATTATTATCAGTTAGCAGTACTATTTTTTTTTCACACACACACACACACTGTATTTTATTTTTACAAGAGGTAAATAAACTGACACCAGGCATTGTAAATGGATGACCACAACAAAAGCAACAACGATTGCAATTACCAAACACGAAACACACTCATACTATGTCATAATATTGACATTCAGTCCAGGAATCCTCCACTGTAACAGCCCCTTTACTTTGCAGTGAAAATTGATTTGTATATTTTTTGCCTTGTAGAGCAGCTTCTTGACCATGGCTCTGTTGACATTTTGGCTGGGTAGTTCTTTGTCGAGTTGGGCCATAGGGTGTGTTGAGCAGCATCCTTGTCCTCCACCCGCTCGATGCCAGTAGTGCCCACCCCTCAGTGGTGACAAAAATGTCTCCAGACATTGCCCGATATCCTCTGGGTGCAGAATCGATCCACTTGGTTGAGAGCCACTGTGCTAAAAGAATTGTGCAGATGTAGGAGAGTAACATCTTTCTTAGGAGATACACTCTGTCACATGTTGGGGTAACGACCTGTGATACCTGCAACTCCCCAGATATCCAGGAGAACAAGTGAACATACCCAATCACCATATATGTGAGAGGGGGAAATGTGACAAAAGGGCCAAATGTTCATTTATTGACTCTAGTTGAACAGTGGTGTATCCTTCATGTTCATTGTATTACTCTCTAGGTTTAATTTTAAAAATTAAAAAGCGCATATGTGGGGAAGGAAGGGTCCAGAGGTACCAGAGGAGATGCATTGAAAATTCTCCTTACCCAGGTCCCCACCCACCCATCTACCCACCAACCCCCGCACCTGGCACCTGGCCCCCGGGCAACCGTATGGCAGTAACTGGTAGTATTCCAGAGATTTAGATGCAAGGACATGTGTTTAAAATATTGTGAATTCTCTTTCTTTTTTTTAAAAAAAAAACAAAACAAAACAGATGTTAGTATATTAAACAGAAGTACTGTGGGTTGCATTTTTACCCCCAAATTTTATTTTGAAGTCCTTTTCAATTAACTGTGTAAAGGGCTTTTAAAAAATAAAAAACCCAAATGGAATTTTATTTTAAATGCTTTGTGATTGAAACACTTTGCAGAAAACCTGTGCTTGTTAAGCCAATATATAATGACATGCTTAGTAGAAATAATACATGTATGTATTTCTGTTCTTCTGGGATTAGAAGGTACAAACAGAAATGTCAATTAGACCAGTAGTTGTTCATCTTTTCACTTTTTTTTTTTTTTTTTTTTGTGGTACGTGGGCCTCTCACTGTTGTGGCCTCTCCCGTTGCAGAGCACAGGCTCTGGACGTGCAGGCTCAGCAGCCATGGCTCACGGGCCCAGCTGCTCCGCGGCATGTGGGATCTTCCCGGACCGGGGCACGAACCCGTTTCCCCTGCGTCGGCAGGCGGACTCCCAACCACTGCACCACTGGGGAAGCCCCATCTTTTCACATTTTACTTCTCCCAAATATTCTATCAAATGATCAAGTTTCCAGATTATTACAAACAAAACAAATAATTTTTCAATGACATTTACATATACCACCAATTGTCATATTAGTATTTAGAGGAAATTTGAGAACCTAGCTTCACGCTCTAACTGGCTAAGAATTACATTTCGATTTTGTAAATGACTTCTTTATTTTTGTGGACTCCCGATATTACGTGGATATGCCATCATTTCAGAAATTAAAATTAATTTTTGACACATTCTCATGGTTTATAACACAAAGTGTAAGAAAAGTCTCCCTCCTGCACGTAACCCTGGGGGTCCTAGCACCTTTTGCAGAAGCAGCCGACTGTCAAGACTTTTAGGTGCTTGGCAGACAGGGACAATCTAGACAACCTCTGGCCGGGTGCTTTTTTTTTCATGTAACAGTACACCTTGGAGGGCTTCCTACGCGGTACGGAGAAGCCCTTATTCTTTCTAATGGGGGTGTGATCAGGCCTTGTAGGATGGCCTGTAGCTTACTTAAATAGTTCTTTGTTGATGAGCATAGACCTTGTTTTCAGCTTTAACTATTATCTATCATCATCAGTGCTGCAGCGAAGGAGCTCATACAGACCTCATGCTGCACATGTGCAAAATGAACTGTAGAAATGGAATCTCTGCATCAAAGGGTGAACACGTGGGTAATCTGGTGGACATTTGCCTGCCTGGGAGTTGTGGGTTGCAGCCTCTCCAGCACTGTGTAGGAAGGCCTGTTCTGTACATCCTTGGCCATCCTGTGAGGCATCCACTGTTCGGATTCTGCCAAACCAGATGCATCCAGGTGGATCTCAGGCTAGAACTAGGGAATCAGTGTGAGCTGTGGAGCAGCCTGTCTGCTTTTTCTTTCTCCCATCTGTACACGTTGCTGGGGGCCCTGCCTCAGCCCCATCTTCCTTCCCACTTGTTTGTAGCATCCCTCCCCTAGCTTGTCCCTGGATTGAGGTGTACCTGTTCTGTGGTTTCAGAACCGGGTTTCTTCTTTCAAGGATATGATCTTCTGCTTCTCAGAAGAGGACTGGTCCCTTCTAGACCCTGCCCAGACTGGCTTCTACGGAGAGTTCATCATTGGGGAGGACTGCGGCGTCTCACTGCCTCCAGGTAAGACTTAACTGTCCTCTCTCCTGAGACCAGGGATCTAGGGGGCCCATATCTGATCTCACTGTTCACCCCCAAACCCTGATGGGAGGTCACCTGTACACAGTGGCCCCAAGGCCACTTTGCAGGTTGACCATTCATTGCCTGCTGTTATGACACGTAAGTTAGGCTTGTCAGCTGGCTGTTTTGCATACAAAACCAAATATAACTTGTATCCCTTTCATTTGCTTTTCTTCTATCATTCTTGTCCTACGGATCTCTTCATTGCTGTTTTTCTAACTTGATAGGCCTGAAAGAGTTGCCCCAGGCCCACAGCTTCCCCTTTAGTGTCCTCCCTCCCCCTCCCTCTCCCTGCTTGCTCCGGTCTTTCCACTTCTCTGTGGCCCTGTGTGGCCCCTGTTGGTGTCATGGCCTGTCATGTGTCCCTCCAACTTCTCTCTTCTCTACCTGTCCCAGAGTTGCCTGGGACAGGCAACTTCTCTCTCCTCCCACCCTGGTTTCCTGTGGGAGCAGATCACTGATGAATGTGTATCCTTCCCTTTTCTGTGAATAGATGACCCAGCTGCCCAGCTGGATCTCTCCCAAGGAGAGGAGAATGAGCCACTTGTTCCAGAGTTGCAGGACCTCCAGGGGAAGGATGTGTCCCAGGTCTCCTACTCAGGTGAGTAGTGATAGCAGAACTTGGTGAATAGAGCGGGATGGAAGGCCGCTGCCAGCCAGAGGCAGACCTGCTCCCTCTGCCAATTTTCTGCAGCCCTCTGTCACCACTGGACCATGTCTTGGTAGGACAAGTCCTGCCTCGTCCCTCATTCCTTACAGAAAGAATATGGGGATTTTAATTTTGCCAGGTGTGGGGATTGCACTTCAGCAACCAGGAACTAGGATGTAATAGGAATATCTTTCTCCTCTGCTATACTGACACCTGGCTTGTGCTGACAACCCAGTGGCCCCTCTACCAGTGAGGTCACATGCTCTCCAAAGGTCAGGTAGGGGAGGAGGAGGGTGTGCCACCTCTTGGCTGGGCACTGGGCACAGTGCCTCTGGCCGCTTCACCTGTCTGCTCCATCCAGCCACATACTGCAGGTAGTGTGAGGAAAGTGAGGCAGGGGGTGGTGCTGGGGCTTGGTTGACATGACACAGTTCAGCAGCAGCATTTCCCAGCCCCCTCCCCACCCCCAGCTTTCTGTGTCACCAGAGCTTGTGTTTGTAACCACTGTGCTGTAATGCCTCAAGATGTCTGCTCCTTCAGGGGAAAAAGTTCTGTACAGTGTCATCAGCAGACCCTTGACCCCTTCCCCTTTGGGACCTAAAGCTGGCACAGAGCAGATCCATATTTCACTCACTGTCCCCACCTGGAACAAGCATCCAGGGCCTCTGGTGTGGCTAGCTTCCCATCCCATCTCTACCCCAGCAGGCCCTGTCCAGGCTGCATTTATGCAGCGTCTGCGTGGAGTACTGGAAATCCCACCACAGAAAATGGAAATGACAGCAGGGATGGCAGTTACTTGTCCACAGTCAAGTGGAAGGGGCAGAACCAGGATCCACATTCCTTCTATCTAGCTTCAAAACCCACGTTCGTGGTGTTGGCCCATTTTGCCTGCAGATTCATTTGCTCAACAGACATTTACTGAGTGGCTGCCCTGAGAGGGAGCCTAGGCCTACTGTTGGATCACAGCCTGGCATCTGTTAAGATGCAACCCCCAGGTGGTGCTGCAGCTGCAGAGGGAAAATCAATGTTTTCATTTTCTTCTCTGGAAAGACTTTCCAAGTCTCCAGCCATTCCAGATAGAAGAAAGAAGAAAACGGGATGAGCCGCAGGTGCCAGAGTTCCAAATCTGCCAGCAGACAGTGCTCCCTCAAAGCACCTGCCCAGGTAAAGGAATGCCTGAGAGGGTGTGGGGGAGTGTGCCCCTGGGTGTGTGATGTGTGGCTTGAGTGTGCATATGGTGTGTGGTGTGTATGTGAGCTTGTGTGTGCATGTAGCGTGGGGCTGTGATATGGCATGTGGTGATGGCATGTGTGATGTATGTATAGTGTGTCTGGTGTGTTGCGTGTGTGAGCGTACGTTTGTGGTGTGTATGTTATGTGGCATTGTGTGGTGAGCATGTCTGCATGTGTGTGGGCATACACGTGTGAGTGGTATTTATGTACGTGGTATGTGTGTGGTGCGTGCATGTGTGTATAATGTCTGTGTGTGAATGTATGTGTGCGTGGTGTGTGTGTGCGTGCATGCGTGTTGTGTGTGTGTATACATTTGTGCTGGTGGTAGGTTCAGGAATTGAACTTTCTGAAATTCCTGCTGACAGTTCCTTGCCAACTGCCTGCCCTAGTTTTGTTTTGCTAGGTTCTCTTCCAGCTCACTCGCAATCTGAGACCCTCCTCTCCTTTCCTTTCTCTTGTGGGTTGAGTCAGGGTGCTGATGTAGTGCTGTTGACCACCTAGTTTGTGTATTTCTTCCCTGAGCAAGGAGGACCAGACTCCCTGGACAAAGTGTTGGAATTAAAGAACAGGTTTACAGAATGCCGAAAGGGGGACCTCTGGAGAATGTGCTCCAACTGCCCTCGGCAGCATTTAGACTCCAAGTAATGCTGGTAAAAGTTGCCACCTCCAGAGGCGAAGACTGAAATCCCGCCATATTTAATGTCGTCAGTGTTCAGCCATTCTTCCAAATATCACACCCAAGTCTCCGGTCCTTACTTAAACCCACTGTGTCATGGAGGACTTTTTGCAGCTATCAAGACTGACTCATGCACAATCTGTGATGCCTTTTGGAAACAAGATTTGCATGATATTTTGGTATTTCCACCTACCACTGTGCAGGGTTCACGACCATTTGTGTTCGCCCCCTATCCTATGTAGACAAAAGGGATTTTATGTTTATGTAAATCTACAGTAGATCTAGATGGACAGTACTCCATCCCCACAAGCTTTGATGCTCACCCCTGGTTTTCTAAGGAGCTTGCTTCTGTATGCTGAGGATGATTATTCATGTGTAGCCCATTCTCAGTTCTGCCTGATGAAAGCTTGATTCTCGAGATACATTTTGTTTTATGTTTTGTTTTTTTGGCCACGAGGCATGTGGGACCTTAGCTCCCCGACCAGGGAGTGAACCTGCACCCCCTGCCTTGGAAGGCGAAGTCTTAACCACCAGACCGCCAGGGAAGTCCCTCGAGATACATTTTGAATCCTCGTCAGCTTCTTCCTGCCCACAGCATGTCTCAGCCCTGGCAGCATCCTTATTAAATGTGGATAGTCATTAATCCCCAGGGGAGTTTTTTAGGTCCACTCTCCCTTTGCTGGGCTCTGACACAGAATATACTTTGAAGTGGCAAGAAGCTAAGGGTTGCTATCTGAGATCAGTGAGAGATGATAGATTGCAAAGAATAGGCACCGTTTTTATTTTGGTAGCCTTTCCCACACTTCTGACAGCAGGTGAAGGGTCCACATCCCCACATCCATGCTCATGAGGGACCCTCCCAACTGGTTCCATTCATTTCAGTCCAACCAGCACATTATAAAGCTGCCACTGCGGTGGAATATCATTTTTTTTAATTTATTTATTTTATTTTTTTTGCTGGGCGGGGGAACTGCGTTGGATCTTCGTTGCTGCGCGCGGGCTTTCTCTAGGTGAGGTGACCGGGGGCTACTCTTCATTGTGGTGCGCCGGCTTCCCACTGCAGCGGCTTCTCTTGTTGCAGAGCACGGACTTTCGGCGCGCAGGCTTCAGTAGTTGCGGCATGCAGGCTCTAGAGCGCAGGCTCAGTAGTTGTGGCTCACGGGCTTAGTTGCTCAGTGGCATGTGGGATCTTCCCGGACCAGGGCTCGAACCCATGTCCCCTGCATTGGCAGGTGGATTCTTAACCACTGCGCCACCAGGAAGCCCAGAATATCTTTTCTTGTTTATTGTGTTTTCTCTGTGAATTGCCTAGTTAATATTCTTTAGTCCTTTTTTTCTTTTTTGCCCCTTCGCCCTTCACATTTGGTAAGCTCTGTGTCTTTATGTCCAAAGCACCGCACCAGAGTAAGGTCTTTACATGATTTGTGCATTATATCCTTACCTCACCTTCTGAGATAGATACTGTCTCAGCCAGCACAGGCTACTATAGCAAAATACCATAGAGGTATTTTCTGTTAAACAATAGAAATTTATTTCTCACAGTTCTGGAGATTGAGAAGCCTGAGATCAAGTCAACAGCAGATTCATTGTATGGTGAGGGCTCTCTTCCTGGGTTGTAGTTGACTGCCTTCTCCCTGTGTGCTTGTATGACCTTTCCTCGGTGCATGCTCATGGAGACCGAGCTCAGGTACTAATCCCATCACAAAGCTCCCACCTTCAAGACCTCATATAAACCTAATTACCTTCCAAAGGCCCCACCTCCCATACCATCACATTGGGAGTTAGCGCTTCGACATACAAATTCTGGGGGGGACACAAACTCTTGGCCCATAACAGGTACTCTGATGTCTCCATTCTGCAGCTGGGACCCCCAAGCTGAAGTCTCTTGCCCAGGCTGTGAGTGTCAGACTGAGGATCTGAACCCATGTTATAGGGCTCCAGGCCTGTGCTCTTAATTCCACATTCGCTTGCCTTTTCCATGAATTAGTAGAAACTCAAAATTGTGGGTCTCAATCTGTTGCCTCTTAGTATTTGTACATAATTCCTCCTGTTTTTTTTAACTTTGTTTATGTGTCTTTTAGGACATAAATGGTTTTCTAAAAACGTTTTTAATATGTAAGTGCAGTTATTCACCTCTTTTTTGATTTTGTGTCTTAAGAAAGCCTCCCCATCCTAACATTATAAGAATATATTAGTTATAATGCGTTTATTTATTTATTTTTAAAAATCTAGCTTCCTGTCCTCCCTGCCTCTCTCCTTAGCACCGCCAGCTGACAGGGAATGATTCATTCCCAGGCTACAGATTGCCCTTCTTGAGGAGTTAGCCATCAACCTGGTCATGGGCTTTTTCCCCCTGAAAACACACGGCAGCCTGGTTGTTCCCTGGCCATGGAACAGCATAGCCAGAGGCTTTGGTATGCAGCACCCACCCCCCCTACCCCCAGTTGAGCTCAATTCCCCTGAACCTTGATCTACTTTATCTCTTGGTTTTAAATTTTTCTCCTGTAAGACAGAGATAATACTCATAGCTACCTTGTGGAGTTATTACTGTTGAGGATTATATGATTTAATATGTGTAAAAGCACTTACACCAATAACTTCCCTGTTTTCTCTACCATTATCCTCACAGCCAATTCAGCCTCCCTCTGCCCTTCTCTCCACCCGCCACACCCCTTGAACTCATCAGTGCTGAGCTGAGACAGCCCTGGTGTTACTCTTTCTCTGTGGTGTTTTGGGCAACACATCTATTATGAGTTTCATCTCATCTGCTAGGAATTCTTTACACTGTTGTGTCAATGGCGCACAGCACTATTGTTGATTTATTTCCCCCTTTTTAGAAACTGTGCATCTATTTTTGGTCACTTCATCTGATTTAAGGGGATGTCATCCTATATGCACTGTATTAATCTCCTAGGACAGCTGTAATAAAGTACCACAGACTGGGAGGCTCGAACAACAGAAATTGATTTTCTCAACATTCTGGCAGCTTAGAAGATTGAGATCAAGGTTTCAGTAGAGTAGGTTTCTCCTGAGGCCTCTCTTCTTGGCTTGTAGATAGCTGTCTTCTCCCTGTGTTTTCGTGTGCTCATCTCTCTGCATGTCTGTGTCCTAACCTCCTCTTCTTACAAGGATACCTGTTGGATTAGGTCCTGCCCTGTTGACTTCATTTTAACTTAATTACCTCTTGTTAAAAAAAATTATTTATTCATTTATTTAATATTTGGCTGCATTGGGTCTTCGCTGCTGCATGCGGGCTTTCTCTACTTGCTGAGAGCGGGGGCTACTCTTTGTTGCAGCATGCGGGCCCAGTAGTTGTGGCTCACAGGATCTAGAGCGCAGGCTCGGTAGTTGTGACACACGGGCTTAGTTGCTCCGTGGCATGTGGCATCTTCCCAGACCAGGGCTAGATCCCGTGTCCCCCGCATTGGCAGGCAGATTCTTAACCACTGTGCCACCAGGGAAGCCCCTACTTAATTACCTCTTGAAAGACCTTATCTCCAAATATAGTCACATTCTGAGGTGCTAGGGGTTAAGACTTCAACATAACGTATTTTTAAGAGGAAGAGGATGCAGTTCAGCCTATAACACTTCACCCTCTGTTCCCCCATGATTCATGCTTCTCATATGCAGAATACATTCACCCTATCCCAACACTCCTTAACGTACTCCAGCATCATCGAGATTTAATCTAAATCAGGTTTGGGTGAAATTCAAGGTGTACTCACTTCCAGCTGTGAATCTGTGAATCCAGACGTCAAGTTATGTGCTTCCAAAATGCAATGGTAAGGCAGGCAGAGAGTAGACACTCTTCATTCCAAAAGGGAGAGATTGAAAAGGAGAAAGGCTGATGGCTCCCAAGCGAGTCTGAATCCTAGCAGGGCAAATTCCGTTAGATTTGAGGGCTTGAGATCCATCTTTGGCTCTCAGTGCTGTGTCCACACTCTGGGCCTGTGGATGCAGTGGCGGTCCTGTCAACCTCTGAACTGCCTTTGGGCCTGGTCTTCCTTTTCCTTCAAGGCTGATGCATGTTTGCAGCCAGATAGCTCTGTTAGTTTGTTCTAGAAGTCTGAGAGCCTTCCTTCAGTTCATCCTATCTCCTTCCTTTTTATTCCAAGATGGCAGTGTTTCGGCTCATGTAATTGTTCTTAGAAACACTGTAGGCCTCGCATGCAATTTACAGTAGTTCAGACCATCAGACGAGAGGGTTCTACAGACCACTCCTGGATTATCTCACCTCCATTCCTGGCTTCCAGAGAAGGTTGATTGGATCCAAGGTTGTCCTGCCACACCCTTGGTGTTCTCCCCAGAATATACTTTCTCATTTTTTGCAGTATAGGTAGACTGAAATTTTTCTAAATCTTCAAGTCTTCCCTTCCTGCTCCCCAGTCTCACATTCTACCCAGACCCCCTCACACTTGTCTTATGATGTATGGACAGATACCCCCATGGACTCTGCCCCTCCCATTGTCTCTCCTGCTCTCTGTGGCTTTGGGTCTTCCTGCTATGCTCTGTCCGGTTTCACCTGCTCTAACTTTCCCTAAGCTGCCAGAACTCTCTCTCCAGCAATTAAGTCCAGAATAACCATATTCCTACTAATATCTTGAAGGGCCTGGCACCACTGCCCCCCCCACCCGTTTTAGACCTGAGCCCCGCATTTTCACAAAAGTGAGGAAACAGTCCTGAGGAGAGCTGCGCAGTGGGCTCTGGGCTGCAGGCCAGGACTTCATACCAGGTTCCCCAGTGCCCACCCACTTCCTCCCCACGGTACAGCTTTCCAACATCACGGGCTTGGGATCCATTGAACGAGCTTCTTCTAGTCAGTTTATAAAGTCCAGGACATCTCTACACATCACCACTAGTGGCTGTTGGTGGGCCTCTGATATGACACTGAGAGGGAGAGATGATCTTGGGCAGTCTGGGGCCATTGAACAGCTCTGATATCACAGCAGGGCTCAACTCCCCTTCAGCCCTGAGCCCTTGGGCACATCCCCCGAGTTTGCCTATGTTTATAATGTGGCAAATAAGGTATCACTGGGTGTGTCCAGGAGCAAATGGGACTGGGCACGTCAGAAGTCTTGTACAATCCCTGGGGCATTGAAGTGCTCAGAGTATGGTAGCTGGCAGCTTCCTGGCAGTCTGTTTATAGAATATAGTGTCTTCCTCTCTCTCAAGGCTTTTAATGTACCCTGACAAATTTTTCCCCATGCCTGGTTAAGGAAGTCAAAGTTAAGTGATGTGTAAATGCTCAAGATTTACATGCCAACTCTTAGAGCTTGGAGGGGTCTCAGTGGCTAGAAAAAAAAAAAAAAAAAAAGATTGGGTCTGGGGGCTTAGGAGAAAAAGGTAGGGAAGAGGGAGAGAGGAGAAAGAGGTACCGAGGATATGTTGGCACAGTGTGGCTAAGGGTTTCCTTGCCACTAGATACACCAGAGGTGTATCCTTGCAAAATGTGGGTTCCTGGACCCACGCTGAACCCTCCTGGGTAGGGTTCGTAGGGGCTAGAGTGTGGCCTGGGCAGCACCACTGACCTCCATGTTGCTTTCTGGTAGCCGGAGGTGATGCACCATTTCCCGACAACAGCCTGGATGAGGAGGTGACCATCGAGATTGTTCTTTCCAGCTCTGGGGACGAGGACTCCCAGCTCGGCCCCTACTGCACAGACGAGCTGCAGAGCCCCACGGAGAAGCAGCACAGCCTCCCTCCCTCCCACCGGAGCGGCCCTGAGTCAGGGGGTGAGGTGCAGACCTCCAAAAAGTCCTATGTGTGCCCGAACTGTGGCAAAATCTTCCGCTGGAGGGTCAACTTCATCCGGCACCTGCGGAGTCGCAGGGAGCAGAAGCCACACGAGTGCTCGGTGTGCGGGGAGCTGTTCAGTGACAGCGAGGACCTAGATGGGCACCTGGAGACCCACGAGGTCCAGAAACCTTTTAGGTGCGGAGCCTGTGGGAAGAGCTTCCGCCTCAACTCCCACCTGCTCTCCCACAGGCGGATACACTTGCAGCCAGACAGACTCGAGCTACTGAAGAAGAGAGAGCAGGAGGCATCGGGGACCATGGGCGGGGATTCCGACGCCCTACTGGCAAAGGGCAAGGCCAAGCTGCGCTTCCAGTGCTGTGACTGCGGGAAAGTGTTCCAGCGTCCCGACCAGCTGGCCCGGCACCGCAGTAGCACTCACGTGGACAAGTCCCGGCCCTTTCAGTGCCGGTACTGCGTCAAAAGCTTTTCCCAGAACTCTGACCTCCTCCGCCACCAGCGCCTGCACATGAAGCGCCGGTCCAAGCAGGCGCTGAACTCCTACTGAGTCAAGGGCGCACACGTTGTTGGGTGCAGCTCCAGCCTGGGTAGAGCACATCCCGCTCATGCTCGGTTCCAGACTCCTCCCCAGGACAGAGACCACATCCTCCTGACCTTTACTCTCAGGTAGAAATGAGATCATGGCCAGTTGAGCATTTGTTCTGTCTCTGCTGTGCCAGAAGCTGGGAGGGCGTGTCACCACCAGCTTTGACTTGCCCAGTGTTTTCGGGTCTAGGAGAACCCTGTCCAGTGCTTCCCAAGCGGTGGAGGGACTGGGGCGCCCCCTACTGCAGTGACCCCTTGTGGGGGTGGGGTCTGTCCCTTACCAACTAACTCTCAGTATACTCCCATCCTGTGCTGTCTGAATTCCCACCCCACCCTGAGGTCTGGAGGTAACTGCTTTCTGCCTGACAGCAAGAAGCTGCAGATGAGGTGATGGGTTAGGAGGAAGGTAGGAAGGCGGGGTGGGACCCGTGGGCACAAGGGCAGTCGGGCCAGGCACACCAGACCATGTCATGTCATCAGAAGTCTGAGTCCTGGTCACCATCTGGTCCACAAGAGCACCTCACAATTATGAGATGGCCCTTTCAGGCTCAGAAACCTTGGTGGGGGGCTTTATAGCTTCTTGCCAAATGGAAACCTTTTATTTGTGATGGTGGCTGGTTATTAGGGATTGTGAGCTCATTTAAGGGAAAGCCCGCATTTTAAATTTTATGTTGGCACGCACTCCCCAAAGTGTCCTTTCTTTGTACCCTGAAGGTCCTTGGTGTATGCTTGTGGGTTAGAAGTGAAGTCATCATCATTTGAAAGGCACTTAAGTTTCCTTTCCCATTGGGTCGTGTCTAGGAAAGGGGAGCTCAGCTCCAGTGAATGAGAGGTTCTTTGGCTTGGTGAGCTGAGCAGGGGAAACAACAGAACCTTTGGTGAAGTCATTCTCTACATATATATTAACTTAGTGTGCCAGCTGTATTAGTTCCTTAGGGCTGCTGTAACAAAGTACCAAAAACTGGATGGCTTAGAACAACAGAAATTCATCGTCTCAGCTCTGGAGGCCAGAAGTCCAAGATCAGGGTGTCAGCAGGGTTGGTTTCTTGTAAAGGAAGGATCTGCTCCATGCCTCTCCTTTTGCTTCAATGGTTACTGCCAGTTGTTGATGTTCTTTGTCTTGTTGAAGCCTCACCCCATCTCTACCTTCATCTTTACATGGTGTTCCTGTGTATGTGTCTGTCTCCAAATTTTCCCTTTTTATAAAGACACTAGTCATATTGGATTAGGGCCTACCCTGCTGTTTCCAGTATGTTCCCATCTTAACTAATTGTATCTGCGATGACCCTATTTCCAAATAAGGTCACATTCTGAGGTACTGGGGTTAGGACTTCAACATGAATTTGGGGGGGATGGGGAGACACAGTTTAACCCATAAAACTATATAATCCTGAGGTTCTGCTGTCATTGCTGATTCACAGGTGAGTCAATACAAACTTGGGTTAACTTACTCTCAGTTCTATTGGAAGCAGGATTCAGATCCAAGCTTCTGCTCCCAGGGTGGATGTCCTCTGCATATAGCCTTTAAATTTCATTGCCTGGGGTTCCGGGCTGGGAGTGACCACTGGTAGTGAAACCGCAAGCAATGAAAACCATGGTCTTGTTCCTGGCAGACTGGCCAGGTTGGCTCAGCTCAATGATGAGAAAGCACAGAGGCTATAGAGTATCAGTGACTAAATCAGAAAGCCAGCCACGAGGCATGCGTTACGTATTTGTATGTCAGGTCCCATTAGCAGGCAGTAAGGCTGGGCAAATGAATTCAAGGCCCTTTGTTCCTTGTGAGCCACTTCATTGTCACGTTGAGAGACACTGCTGCCACAAACTCAGTGAAAGAGTTACAAGGTTTTATAGTTATGATTACTGTGCCTGTGTAGATTCATCTACGTACCCAGGAACAGTAAATGCAATAAAATAATTTGGTCATAACCCTGAACAAGAAATAAACTATTGAGGCTCTTTGTTTTCTACATAGTTTGCCTCTTGGATTGATCTGCCAGGAAAAGGGAAAAATACGAATCTTGAAGGCCAAGGGAGGGGATAATTCCAAATAGAACCCAGATTCCGTGTACATTTACCCCACCCACCTGTGCACTCTTGCCCAAGGATTCCATTAAGACGGGAGGTTATGATCCCAAGAGGAGCACTATTCTACTTAGTGTATTTTATCTGAAAATCTTAAGTAAGAAAGAAAGGGAATGTGACAGAATTGAAACCTTTGGGGACACTGTGCATCTGTTCAGTACCCACCAAATATTGTGAGGGAGTCCCCCATTCACTTACAAACCTGACCAAGGTACTTAGCTAATCAGAAGGTTACCTTCCCCCTGGATTCAGAAACCCTACTGGGTGATGCAACTCAAATCCCAGGTTCTTCCCATGCAGAAGGACCAGTGCGGTTACCTGCTCTGGAGAAAGCTCCTCCAGACGATAGGAGAACTGACTGACTTCTTCCCTTTTCCCACCCTCCCTGGGTGGCTGGGCAGACAGGGGAGCTATGTTTCTACCTTGCCGTGGATGTTCAGAGAGCCCACATCTGAAGAACATCTGTCCTCCCTGTTCATCTGATCCCTTGGCATTGTTCCCATAAATTCACAGGTGCATAATAAAATTCGACTCACTGAATTAATATTTGCGTTTGACTTTTCGTTTTAGTTTAAAAAGTTAACAAGTAGCACAGCTGAGAGAGACAGTCAGCTGGCCTGACAAAGAGAAGTTGAGGTGGGATGATGCTGAAAATGGCCGCCTGGATGTCAGGCATCACCTTGTGAAACTTCTGGGCCTCAGATAGTTCTGGTCACCTGATCTGACTTCTCTAGAGGAGAGAGGAGGTAGCTGCTTCTCTTTACACCAGGGACGGGATGAACTCCTGGTAACACCATAGCTGTTTCACCCAACCTCTGCCATTTTCATATAGACTCCGTCTCCTGACCTCTTGCCACAGCTGGGAAAAACAAAGAAAGCCAGTGGTGGGAAGGTCCCTTGCTATTCTTAAGTCAAATCATGGCACAAGTGGAAGAGAAGGCACAAGTCTGTGCCTACCTTGGACTTGGAGACTGGTCCTGGTTGCTTTTCCCCTATGAGATAGTTTCCCTTCTCTACCAAAAGCAGAGTTTTGATCAGGCACAAACACTTCTGCTTGCAGCATAATAGAGGGAATTTGATGACATTTTTGTCAACTCCCCAGTTCCATCAAATAAACCCAGGTGCATTTTCTATTAGTAACAAAAGTTGATACTGTTTTGTCTTATAAGGAATGGTCAGTGCCTACCAGTCCTCCAATGCAAACAAGTCTACAGATTAGGTAACATGCATAAGAAGGCAGCTTAGCCGGCAAAGGAGCATTGGGAGGAAGACTGGATGACCAGGCTCTCCTGCAGCCCTGCCCCACATCTAAGGCACCCAGCACCTGCAGGTTGGATATTAGGGATCATAAGTTCATCAAGGGCAAAGCCCTGGGGTTCCATCCATGCCTTTTGACCATCCCATTACAGATTAGGAGTTTTATCCTCCCTCTAAACCATAGCCAACAATGAGAGCACCATGATTAATGTGCATATAATCACCAAAGTACACTGCAGTATTATCAGTTCCCCATAAGATGCAGAACTCTCTTAAGAAATGGAAGAGCAGGTTCACAGATTAATGGGGAAGGGCCAGTCTTCACTCGCGTATCTTGGCTATAGCCAAGGAGATCACAAGCAGATTGGTAACCCCCCCAAGACAAAGGGCTGTCTCCTCAGCACACAAATAATTGGCAGGGAATTGCCCTTTTCCCATCACCCGCTAAAAAACGGTTTGGTACAAGTCATGTCTGTACTAGCCTATTATGCACAGGTCTTGCTACATCTTGTTAAAATGTAAAGGGGCCAGGATACCTGCCCTGAAAACGTTGCAGGTCAGAAAAGGTGCAGACTTAATAGTTGGGGTAAATCAGTCCCACACAAATCAAGCTGTATCACCTTTGAAAGTGTCTGTGTGCTCTGAGAAGAGATGGGGGCCTGCTTCCAACCCACTGAAGGTAAATTCAGAGTGATTTCTAGATTTTTAAAAAAATAAATTTATTTATTTTAGGGTGTGTTGGGTCTTCGTTGCTCCACACGGGCTTTCTCTACTTTCAGTGAGTGGGGGCTACTCTTCGTTGCGGTGCCTGGGCTTCTCATTGTGGTGGCTTCTCTTGTTGCAGAGCATGGGCTGTAGGTGTGCGGGCCTCAGTAGTTGTGGCTCGCGGCCTCTAGAGCACAGGCTCAGTAGTTGTGGCACACGGGCTTAGTTGCTCTGCGGCACGTGGGATCTTCCCAGACCAGGGCTCGAACCCGTGTCCCCTGCACTGACAGGCAGATTCTTAACCACTGTGCCACCAGGGAAGTCCTAGATATTTTTAAGTGTTTCTCTGAGTAAATATTTTGGAAAAGAAGATTTGGAGTGGAAAAGAGTATAAGCTCATATTGAAATCATATCAACACAGCATCTTCAGCAAACAATGACTCGTCAAGTTGCAGGTAAGGGGTGGGGTTGCTAAGAGTGGCTGGACCAAATTTATCTTGGTCTCCTTTTTTACAACTCATATTTTTCTAAAATGGCTTGGCTGATGTCCAGATGATATTCTGTGGTCGTGATCTAAAAATTTCACTAGGAACTTTATTTTTTGCTTTTTTTTTTTTTTTTTTTGCGATACGCGGGCCTCTCATTGTTGTGGCGTCTCCCGTTGTGGAGCGCAGGCTCCGGACGCACAGGCTCAGTGGCCATGGCTCATGGGCCCAGCCGCTCCGCAGCATGTGGGATCTTTGCGGACGGGGTCACGAACCCATGTCCCCTGCATCGGCAGGCAGACTCTCAACCACTGCGCCACCCGGGAAGCCCACTAGCAACTTTCTTAAACCATCTACTCAAGAAGCCCAAAGTCTAACAGATGTGCATTCACCAAATTTATAGAAGGAGAACCAGGTGCACCAGCAAAAATGGCCACTGAGATGAGAGATCCAGGGGCCTCAGCATCCTTAAGGCTGTCTCCTGTACCTGTGGAGATTTTCATGTATCTGCCTTTGGTGACAGCAGAGAACTTTGGCTCAGGCACACTCTCTGTCCTTTGAGAAGGTGCTAGGCAGGTGGGCAGTCTTGGGGTTCGGAGAGGGTAGGCATAGACCCACATTGTAGTTGGGAAGGAGAGGGTGGACAGATACCTGGTATATTCTCGCAATGTTTTCTCCACTGCTAATCACCCACCAAGAACTGAGACCACATTGTGTTTACCTGTTTACATTGTCAGCTCAGTATCTGAATCAAAATGGGATATTGATAACGTGCCGGTATAAGGTGCACCCTGTCAATTCTGCCCTCCCAAGAGAGACTGGACTCCTATTGGAGCAGGAGCTTGGAAACCAGCTTTTCCAGGTGCTGAGAAGAGCCTGCTGCCATCATAATGCCTATTATCTGACACCAACTGGTTGTCCACTGTGGACAGGGAATGTTGCCTGCCATTCCAGTAAACAAGGATCAAGCCATCGGCCACCCCTCCCTCCCCGACTTGTGCGCCCTGAGGGGAATACAGGATAGAGAAAAACAGGGACTTCCCTGGCAGTCCAGTGGTTAAGACTCCGCACTTCCAACACAGGGGGTGTAGGTTCGATCCCTGGTTGGGGAGCTAGACTCCCGCATGCCAAGGTTAGAGAAAAACAGGAAGCATTAGGTGCTTTGGATACTGGCCCTATATAGTTAAGATGCTTATCTAAGGAATAAATTCAATGAGCCCAGATTCTTGCATCTTCCCTTACAGAGAAAAGTGCTAAAATCATTAACTTGAGGTGTCTGTTTTTGTGATTAGCGTAATAAATGCAGTCACTCTCCCACTAGGACGGACAATCTGAGAATATGGAACACATGATTTTTGGTTTTGTTACTCTTTGGGGTGAAGGTAAGATTTTTCTGAGCTGGGTTTTAAGTGGCAGAGGGAAGCAAATTCCTTTTTTGCAACTTTTCATGGTCACTTGGGAAAGAGAAGTCTGAGACAAAAGATTGTCTGAAGCCAGACAGCCTCTTTCTCCCTAAACCTGAGCTGATCTCCTTCGACCTAGAGAAAGGGCCCTCCAGGTGATATCAGTGCTCTAGCCCATGTGCTCCACACCCCCTCCCCCACCCATGTTTGGGTCACAGGATGTGGCTGAAGAAGACAGAACCACAACCCTGGCTGAGTTTCAGGCTCTGGATAGCAAAGGTGAAGTTGAAACTGAGCAGGACCCTGTGGGGCCCTCGGGAAATAGGCTTCATTCAGCCTCCTTGACCTTCCCTGAGTCAAAAGGGCAGATCCAAACAGCTGCTAATCAAGGGAAGGAAAAATAATGCCGGAACAAGGAAGGAGCTGTCAATAAACAATAGTGCAGTGTTGGGGCAGGGTCCTAGTTCCTCCTCAAGGAATACACATAACAATATCTTTGAGGTCTTCCGCTGGAACTAAGGCCCCAACCCAGGTGGAGGATAGTAAGTTCATGCTGAGCGCAAGATTCCTGGAATACTGCCCAGTTTCCTCAGCACCAACCAATCAGAAGAAAGTCACACACCCTGCAGCCCTCACCCCAAATTTTGCCTATGAAAACATCCCCCCCCAGAAAAAAACAGAAAACCAAAAAAGACAAAACAACTTTTCCTCCTAAATCATTGAGGAGCTCAGGGTTTCTGAGCATAGGCTACCCATTCTCTTTGCTTGACCCTGCAATAAATGTTTCTCTGCTCCAAACTCTGATGTTTCAGTTTATTTGGCGTCAGTGTGCATCAGGCACACAAATTTTGTTCAGTAACAAAGTCATGATAAATCCAGGGAAGAAAAAAAAAAATCATTTTTAATGAAAAGGCCCTGGTCGGCTTTGAAATAGGTTAAGGGTGACACATAAAGGAAGGGGGCAGGGCACAACCATTAAAAGAACGACACAACCATTAAGAAGAACAGGATACCACAAAAACTGGTTAGAACTTACTAGGTCCAAGATGGCGGAAGATTCAACTTCCAGTAGACCTTGAGCCTCATTATACGCTCACTGTAATACATTAGCATCTAAATGACACACCCACAGGTGCCATGACAGTTCCGAGGACGACCATAAAAGGCTGAAACGTGGGCGGTGGCCCAGCTCCTGGAAATCTGTCCCCTTTCCCCAAAATAGTTGGAATAATCCTCCCACTCGTTAGCCTATGAAATTACCCAACCCATAAAAGCTAACCACTCCCACACCTCGGGGCCACTCTCACTTTCTAAGACCCTGACCTCATGCCCTGGGGTCACCTCTCTTGCCTTCTGAGATGGCCCATACTCTGTCTATGGAGTGTGTATCTCTCTAAATAAACCTGCTTTAACTTTACCTTGGCCCCCTCCTGAATTCTTTCCCGTGTGAAGCCAAGGACTGTCACTTGGCGACCCGTCCCAGGGACTCACTCGAGACCTGCGACATGACCATTTCCTTGTGTCCCATTTTTCCTAGAACATGGGGAAGAGACTTCATGAGAAGAGGACTTCTTTTACCTGGAAACACCTAGAAGTTGCCTTCACTTCTAATCCCTCTCCTTTGCTCCCTTGGTGGCTGTGAGGGACTTATAAAAGTCCAGATGCCTCTGGCTTGGCAGCTGTGGGCAATAG